CTGCTGTTGCAGATCAGAAACGGGGTAACCATTAGCTATTTCACAGCTGTCTATTTTTCAAAACCTAAGACTCGGGATCGCTTCTTCACATGCCTGGTCCTTTTTATCTAGAAGCACCAGGTAGGAGGCACTGGCGTTAGTTCCAGCAGACTCTCTAAACAATTTCACAACCCTTTTTCTTGGAGACCAGTGCCAAGCTGACTATCTGGGTAACGCCCAGGAACAGCAATGCAGGCGTACCCTAACAGGGCACCAGGGCTCTCTGATCCCAGAGAGCTTCTCAAAGGCTGAAATTACTCACAAGGGAGCAGTTTTACCCAGCAGTCCTAGATGCTGTGGGGACATAAGCTCCCGGGAAATGGACTTCAGTCACCAGCCATCTTTCTTCTGTGTGCTGGCAGTACATAGGATCGGGATTCCTACTAATTGTTAATAATAAATAAGCAACAATCATCGCTCCTGCACGAATTGCATTAGCTCTGGGAAATCTACTGCAGAGAGCAATCGCAGCCTTTGACCCGCAGGGCAGCAGTGCTTCGTGGCAGGCAGCAATTAGCTGGGAGACAAGGCAAGGTCAGCCCGCCAGCCCCTTTACACTAGTCCTTCCAGCTACAGACAGAGACTGGGGAGGGAGAGAAATCCCTGGCCTTTCTGGTAAGGGCTGCAGTTTCACATCCTGTATTCAGAATATCATTAACACCCTACGCAGTAAGATAGGTTGCTCAGGGCTCTTACCTGGCCACCCGTTTCTGGTCATAATACAGAAGCATCTGGTACACACCCGTACCTGCTACCTATAAGGTAGAGATCCTGATAGCACTGTGAATAATGTTTATATTCACTTAAAATATCTCCCTAATGTAAGCCAGAAGGTAAAATATTGTGCAAGTGGGCAATGCATATTTTTTTTGGTTAAGCCATACTACATAGCTAATCAATCCCAAGTACAACAGTACACATCATGGGTTATCTATTGAAAAAAATTTCTATGAGCTGGGCTGAAGATGGCTCCAATTTGAGAACCTTAGGAACAGACTGTATTATTTTGTCTCTTTACATAAGATGCCATCAAAGAATAAAGTGATAGTATTTCCTTACCTCCCCCAGGACCTGAACTTTGACTTATATTTTGTAACCCAGCGGGTCCAGTCATACAAGCAGAACTTGAGTGTTGCTTCATGGTACATTCTTGCATGGATGTTAGGCACCTTTCCTGTTGCAGAAGACCAAGAAGAGAACCGTATTTCCTGTCAGAGATCGGTTCATCTACCACGTGCAGGTCAGGCAAGGCATGATGATAGACCGAACTGGTAAGACTGGGAGTCCCAATCGAAGGGAAGGGCCATAAATCTGCAGGTTGAGTTGGATGACTCCGCAGAGCTGAGGGCTGGTATTGGCCTGCCTTACCAGCAGCAGAAAAATTCAGACCCGTATTTGACATGCTTGTTGCAGAAGATGATGGGTATGGTTTGGAGCAATGTGAAGAGAAATTCCACTGATGGGGAGACATGCTATCTACTTAAAAAGAGAAAGAAAGCATCTGAAGTCTCATCAATTCTTACTTTTTTCCAAGGCAAATTCCAATGGACTAAGGGAACACTACCAGATTGCATATTCATTCTTACAGAAATATATATTCAATTTAGTGCTGCTTATCTTCAAAATCAACTACATATTCATACTAAAAGCAGACTAAGCCACCACCACCAATACTTTCAAATAAATACTACGTGTGTTTTCTTCAGGCCGCTAGCATAGGCAGGTTTTTAACAATTGCAAGCTTAGACTAATATATTTCTGCAGACGACAAATTAAGTCATAATGCACTAAATGCATCTGACAGTGATGGAGACTCTTGGCTGGAGAACGAGAACCCAGTCCTGCCAACAGGCCCATGGAGAGCTTGGGAAGCGCCCCAGCAAGCACAGGGATTTACCCAGGAAGTCCCAGCTACATAATCCAGGGCTTTTGCAAGCACGATTTTCTCGCTTTCTGTTTGTGCACAGTTCCAAATTTAAGCATGCTGCATCTTAAATTCCTTAGTGAAAGCTAGTCACCCCCACCTAATACCACGCTCACGCATGGAAAGCAGCTCACCGTTCTTCAGGACAACAGTCTCGCCCTTGTGCTTTGTGCTCAGGTCTTGTGGGTTCTTGGCATTGCTTAGAGCTCTAGAAAAATGTTCATCTACCACGCTGTTAATATCCCCTTGGAAATACGTAAATACAACACTCTGAGACCCCCATTCCGTTTTCACAGGTTCTTTGCTTTTACATGGCTTTGGAGAGAGCTTCCTTGTTTCTTCCATTTTCAATAACCAACAGCCCCTGACAAAAAAAAGAAAACCAGTCAAAGAAATACTATTCAACTTAAAGTGCACAGTCAGTGGTGAGCCCACCTTCCTCCTGAAAATGGTAGGGCCAGAAGAACTGTTACTAGTAGGATTAGATTCTTTATCTGAGTTTCTGCTTCTTCCACACACCTTTTCTTTACCGATTTCCTTATTATATACTTCTAATATGAAATACTTTAAGTATAAAACAAAAGGAGGAACCTTTCAATAAATATGTACTACATTTTTCAGAATTGTGATGGGAGTGCATTTTTCCCAATCAGACAAATTGAATCCAATTAGTCTTTAACTCGTTCAATGCAGTATCTTTTGCTGGTGAGCTCTAAGTTTGATATAACTGTACAATATGCAACCTTAGTAAGGGATGCTGCATCTTGAAAGCAGTGAATGGCTCAGAGACGCAGAAGGCCTGACAGATACCAACTTTGTATGAGTTACCTGTCAATGCCATAGCATCGGCTCTATCGAAGAATGAAATGGGCATATCTATCCACCCGCTTTCATTTCTCACCCCTGCCTTCATCCGTCTTTATAACCCTGGGCTTAAGACCTTGCACTGTGCAAACGCACCCTGAGGATGGAAGTGTGCTGAAAGAACTGAGGCACTTAGACAAATAATTCAGACAACAGAGAGGTGGCATTAGCCCTGGATGAAGCTCAGGGTGAACTTATCAAAATGCTTTGTCCAATTCTGGTTTTTGCATTGTTCAAAAAACATATTGACAAAATGAAAAAAAAAAAGAAGAAAAAATACTAATTGGAGCTTAAAATAATAACAACTTTAGATAAGGTAAAGTTCGAAGTACCTTGATCACTGTCAGCACGCACCCACACAAGGAAAAGACTTCCAAGAGTAACTAGTTGCTTCACCTGTTAGAAAAAGACATTCAGATTAAATTATTGGAAATTCAAATTATGGCAAATTCAAGTAAAAAAAGCAAACAAAAGAACTTTTTTGTTTGAAACAACTTACCTAGGAACTTGGGGGGTCTGCCAGTTGCTTAAAACTTTGGTAGCAAGACTGCTAAAACACACACTGTAGCTCAACCAGAAGTTACAGATTTAAGGCAGGAATTACTCTAAAATAGTTTGCAGGAAGTCAACAGAAGACTGTAAGACTCCTTTTTGTTCTACTTAAGAATCTCTGCTGCCAGATATGGTAAGAGTAGGACAATGAACGTCACTGCTTGCCCTGGAGAAGCATCGTTTTTATGCATTTGTGCAGTTTCTGGCCGCAGGGGAGCTAGTTCTACAACCAGAGCTCATGCGTTCTGCTGTAATCAAAATCATATTTAGCAATGCTCATGCTATGAATGCAGAGAGAATTGCCTGCTGTTTCTATTCAATTTTCCAGTTTCATTGTCAGCTCATCACACCGCATAGCATAATTGGTTTACCTTGGTAGCAAAAAGAAGGCTGTTATTTTTCAGAGACCAGGGAAACCTTCAGCCAATAGCCAGTTGTATCATGCAAAACCTAATGAATCATTAGATTTGTGTTTCCATCCAACTAACCCTGCAATACGCAGTGTTGCTTAACCTATTCTGATACATTTATCTGATTTCTTTTCTAATCATAACCCCCCCAGTCCTCAGAAGCTTCCTCATAAACATTGCACTCATCTATGTCTCGACGGGTATTCTGAAGTATCTGCAAAGGCTGCCTCCAAATGGTCTCTCAGTGTTTCTTACACATGAAAAGACTGTTCAGGCTGCAAAACCAAGTATTCAGACATTAAGAAATACAAGGATTAAGGTTATCCAGCCATAATCCATTCCCCTTTTTATGTTTAAGCCTTCATCTACAAACTTCTTGTCCATGTTTATCATTTGCTTCTCTATCTACTTTTGCTTGTTACCTCTACCTCCCCCGCATTCTCTGTTCAGTTCTCCCCCTTCATGATCCCTTGCTCAGCTAGCCCTAATCCTCTGTCATCAACTACCAAATTGTGTCCAAACTCAAGAGTTTCTCAGACCTCATTTTAGGATTTCTATTGCTTTGCCCCTTCCTGCATCCTTTCTCCAGCTCCAAACCTGAACACAGTGGTGGGGATGGGACACATACAGGTAGGTCACCAGTTAGGAAATGCAAGGGGATACTCTGTAACAGGCATCTGATTCGGAAGACCGTCTTTCAGAACTTCAAAACTGACCAAACTTTCCCAAACACAGAAACTTAAACTGAAAAAACCTTCCTCCCGATTCACAGTCACCTTCCCAAGGCACATGAGGGGAGCAGGAACTAGCACAACCCTGACAAATAACTGGAAGAACTTCAAGCACAGGAAGAGACTATTTTTTCCCAGTCTTGCTTCAGAAAGCAACCCACTGTTTAGGTTAAGAAACTTTCTGGCTGCTCAGCTGGAGGCCAACACTTGCTATGGAAAATTCCAACCCAAGCGGTAAGAGCTTGGCAAAATCGTCAGCAACCATGGGGCCTGAGAAAGGACTACATCAGGCCTTCTCGACAGCAAGCAGCAAACCGGCTCTTCCTACACTGCTCCACCACTACGCATCAACATACAATTTAAAAAGCATTAGCTCTGGCCCAGAGGTCTATTTTTCCTGTTCCCCACTCAGTGCCATTGTGTCTTTGTACCACTTTATTAACATGCTTAACTTGCTCGTGACATTAATTGTAAGCTCTTTTAGCACCGTTTATTGGTGTGTAGCAGTTGTTACGCTCGTGTGAATTGTGACCACAGTAATTACAATGCTAGAAAAACAATACTTTTTTTAAAAAAAGGTCATTTATCTGTTTTTTTTCTCATTTCCCTTAAAAACCTCTTGTGCTTTCCAACAAGTTGTCTGAAGAAGGCTGGCTATAACCTAGGTTGTATCTCAGTCCTCCCAGTGATCATATGCACATGAGGAATCTAACGTCCCAAGAGTCAGGACCTAGATTTGGTGCGCTGTGGTCTTTATTACCTGAACTTCCCATTCTTCCGTCTTCCAGCAGGAAGTCTGCAAAAAAAGGCAGAAATCCTTCCAATTTGTGTCTGCCACAAACTGCTGTCAAAATATAGTAAAGTGGAGCTCAGGATGAAACAGCCTCAGCTCGCCTCACACCACTCTCAGAATGGGTTAATTATGGCAAAATAGTGCAAGTAATTGTCCAGGTTACTCGTCCTTCAGGTGGACAAGGACACACAGATCACACAGGCTTAAGAGACATGGTTGTTGACTGCTCACCACAAGTGACAATGCTTTACAGTATTTTTCACATTCCCCACCCTTGCTAGTACTATTAATTTTCCATCACTGTAGCATCAGACAGGGAACTCTCTGTTCTCTAGTTCATGCAGCCCAAACCAGTTTTAAAAAATAAATAAAACAAAAACATTTCCACTTCCCAAGTATTAAGCAATAATTTAACAAGCAGGCATTCTCTTTCATCAAGTATCTTTCAAATAAGGGAACATTTGAGGAAGTCAGTGAACATACACTGAAATTACCATTGTTATTCTCCTACCTTAACTCACTGCCACGAGCGGTGTCACGCCAGTAAGATTTTCCAGACATGGGACGGTCATGCTGTGTCCAGCAGTTTGGGATCCTTCCCCCGGCAGGCTATGTGCGCTCTGCAGTGACCGCAGGAGGAGACAAGCAACGTTCATGAACTCCCTACATGCTTTCTAGCCTCTAGCTGCGAGTGAACTAGGCGTTTCCTTCAGCCTATCTGCTAAGAATGCGTGAAATGCACTCCAACAAGTCAACCGGGTTAGGAGGTTTCAGGAATGAGGAAAATAGGATTGTAAGTAGGGTTGGTTTTTTTTTATGACAATGTGTACACAATAAAGAAGACAGCGTCTGGACTTCAGAAGACTTTTGAGTAAGATGATAAACAAGTTGTGGCAGAGAACCAAACTTGGTCAGGGTCAGAAAGGACTTCCCTATGCCAGGTTATAGCATATTCAGCATTAAGTGTGTAACTACAAACATCTGCAAGAAGGGAAAGATCACCTGTCTCCATCCCAGATATGCTGGGTTTTCTCTCTCTCCTTTGCTGGACCTGTTTAAATGACTATAGAAAATCTTCAGAAAACAAAAATATCATTCTTGTTCTGTAAGGGCTGTAGCAAGAAACAGGTAGCTTGAGGGGTTTTGTAGTAAGTTTACCAAAATTACCAAGTTGCAGCCATTCCAGAAATGCTGAATCAGGGTCAAATTTGCCAGTGTCAGCCGGAAAAATGCACTGGGGAACTAGAGTCACCAAACTGGTGACGTTATGTCTTTTATGCAGTAGCTTAACAGTTTGTTTACTCACCCAGAAAGTAGGAGAGCACAATCCAATTCCCTCTGCCTAAATACGTATGAATCCACCCTCTGCCATCTCCCAGAACAACTTAACTACCAGGCTGTGAGATTTCCCAGGACGGTGCTTAGTCTTCTATTGACACACTCTTCGCATAAACACATTTTCTTGAGACAGACTGGATTCCAGTCTATCAGCAGGGCAAGTGCCCTCAACATCTCAGTCCCTTTCTTTGCTCCCCTTTGCTAAACTGTTTCATGCAGCAGAGATTTCTTCTGCTAAAGCTTTTCAAGACCTCACTCAAGAATTTCCTCTTAGGTTGGCAGTTAGAGCACTCTAAGGTTGTTAGATGGCATCAGTTTAAAGCTCCTAGGTGAACACCCCAAAGAACTACTGGGTAAAAACGGGATTATCATCCCTGTTCCTTTGTAGTATAGGAATTGAAACGACTGATTTCCAGTGCTTTTTAAGCATTCAAAATGTTAAGCTTTGAACAACCAAAAAAAAAAATTTAAAAAAATCATTTCTGAGAATAAAAATTGAAATTCTGCTTGTCCTTAACACACACATACACACACCCCAGTCTCAACTGTAGCTATGGTGCCAGCAGCCATTCCTCCTGCTCCTTTTATCTCCATGCAAGGCCCACTAACACACCAAGCCAGAATGAAGTCTGAGACAAAACCCATAAAGAGCGAACA